GATTCAAGAAATGTGCTGACGGTGACGGCTGTCATGGCAGCAGGATTGCCCACGGTGCCATCCCCTAGAGATATGGAATGGAGGTCGATTGGGTAATCGTCCTGATTCTCCGCGATGGCATAAGCAAAGTACGGGATGTAGATTCCTGCATATGATTCCCCTATCATGTGGACACGCTTGGCACGAAGGTGGGAAAAGTGAGAAAAAAAGGACTGCAGCCATTTGTAGAAATCCGAGGTTACCCGGTCATTGTCCCGGACAGGATATGGATTGCTTGCCGTTGAGAACCCCGTTCCTGCGGGCTGGTCGACATAGAGGACGTGGCCAAGCTTCGTCCACGATTGGGGGTTCTCAATGAGATGAGTGGTATTGCCATCGAACAGGAGAGGTCCGTTGCCTGTCATCAACCCTATCAGCGACGAACAACCCGGTCCACCATTGAACCATACTGTTTGGAACGAGTCAGCGTTTGTGGTGTTTGATGAAGAACTGCAGAATGGAGGAACAAACTAATCAGATTCTCATCATATGTGGGATCCTGGGCTTCAAAGAGCCAGAAGAAGATGGAATTGCCTTTCTCTGTATCGGGAATAGGTAGCCGGCCGGCCCAGCTGCGCGGCACAGTAGGACTATCGGGCAACGACAGGACTTCAAACTGTGAGATATCCACGGATGTTCGGGGCGCCGTCCACAGCAACAGCATAGGCACAGCCCATATTGCGTGAAAAAGAGAAAGTATAGCAGCCACGTTCATGACGCTATCCGATGTCGACGATATATCGCATCAACCTGACATCAACAGAAAGAGAAGAAGACGAGACTGAAGCACAGAGAAAGCCCGATACATTCTTTGCCAGAAATATCCTATGTACAGTAAGTCATAAAAGAGTTCTGTGGCAAATATGCTGAATAAAAGCCATGCTGGCGAGCTATTGGTGTTCTGGAGCCTGGGTGATTTGATTGAGACTATCCCGATGTTGACCTCAATAGCGGAATGCTTATTGAGCCAGAGTTGACAAAGTTGCCCACACATAGAGGTGGAAAATAAAGAAACACGCGGCTTCATGTTAGCGCTCTCTTCTTCATCTCATGTAAGCAATGGACTACAGTATGATCCATATGGATAGTTTGGAATGCGCGAACTGCAGTAAGGTAGTCGCTCTCTATTCGGTGGTTGATGTAGGTAGGTAGATCGTTGACTGCCTGAGGCTACCAGGCAGTTAGGGACCACGTGGTGAGGATAGGGCTCGGAGTTAGGGCCTTGGATAGGATGGCTGACATCACGGAACTGGGCCAAAGAGCACCTTCAGGGCCAATCTGAATGGATGGGAGGACTATTCGGCTCTCAAATTACTTCGAGTAGAGTATGTGGACAAGGAGAAGCTTGGCATGATGCAGCCTATGAACAGGAATAATCAGCTAAAGAACCTAGGTACCTTACTCATTGAAATATCGGTGTCTGCAGTGATTGGCTTGTACTTGCGCCGAAGAGCCCTAGCTAGGAAGACCAAGTACAGTATGGAGTAGCTCATCCTTATCCGACCTCGTCTGCTTCAACTTTCTGTCACCATAGCGGAATCGCTTCCGTCGTTTTCGACCAACGCTGACCGAATCCTCGTTTGACAGTCAATAATGAAGTGTCAACGACTTGACTTTCCCCAATTGACTCTCCTCCGCTGAGCTCCGAAATGAGGCGACCACGCGGGAAGTGATCAGTGCACTCGCACTGCATTGCAAAAGTGAGGCGTCAAGCGCGTGTGCTGGAGATGTCTATTGCGGTCAGTATTCACCTTTGGCACGACATCTGTTTATGAAGTACTCAGAGGATGCTCTAGATCATGTAACAGTGGGATGATCTTAACCACCTCGCAGAGTGATTTACTAGCCGCTACGTATGAATGTATATTCCGCCGATCAACAGCCTCATTCCTGTTTACAGGATACCAGAATATCCCCAGGCGCACTCGCAGGACTTCCTCCTGAAATGTTCCCGGAAACGAAACTTGATGCACTTGAAGGTAATTTCCCTAGTCCGTAATAATACAACACTATTCCGGCCGGTCGCATTGATTCTATCTATCTGTTGGAAACAGCAATGGGCGGCTGGGCCATCACCTACTGGAATTAACAATTGCTTGATGGGTGAAGTGTACCTAAACAGCTGAACATCAAGTCGAAGAGGATCAACATTCGTTTCCCGTCCGACTATTCCGTAGAAGCTAAACCTCACCCGTCACGAGGATAATCTGAAACCTTCACGAAGACGAAAGTTGCCACGCGCAAGGCGTTGTTGTAATGATGGAATTGCCGCAGAAACTGATCGAGAGATGCTTTGCCTTCAGATGCTTGCAAAGCTCAGTTTGGTCGCGGTCATACCATCCTGGACATCTATCTATGCAGTGTCAGGTTCACTGTGTTGAAGCCGTGAACGGAGCGCCAGGGTTCAGGAGACATCCACTTGACTGACATCAGCAAGATGACGAACTCAGCCATTTTGCTTGTGGGCTATTAATACTTAAGTAACATTGGGTGGAGCTACTTGTGGATAAGCAGTTAGAGACGAGAGGAGACTATTCTACATAAACTCCGTAGAAAAGAGTATAGATGGTCCCAGGATAAACCTGTATCCGGCGATGAAACCCATCACCTTTAACGAGACAATGCATTGGGCGAATTGTGGAATGTTTGCGATCGCGCTCGTTTAGGAAAATCCATCGCCGAGGGCTCTCCTCATCGATTTCCCCCTGCTTTGAATCTCCTTGCCTCCCACTCCGTATTGCCTGCCAAAACGGGAAAAGCAAAAGCATCATCCCATTCCATCATGAAGCCAGCTGGTCAGCGGGGTGAGAGTATTGTACTTCGACTGTACTCCGTAATGGGACCTGTCTCGACTATCCCACTGGGTGAATCACACTCTAGTTGTGAGCAGACGGCAAGCCGCATCGGTCTGCGCATCTCTCCAGGCTACCACCTGCAGTAGAATTTTTTGATTGTAGCTATCCATGATCCATCCATCCATCTGCTATCTACTGTTCCATTGCCAATGCCTTTGCAATTGCATTTTCGCGCTTGCTCGTGGTTTGTCGCTCTGCGACAACAATTGGTCGTCAGTGGTTTTTCACCGAAGATCAGTGGCAACTGGCAGAGAAGGACTCGATCAAGTACGGAGGTACTCTTGGGTACCGTCTTCCTATCAATATTTCCTTTGCTTTTTTTTTTTTTTTTTTTCCAAATGCTTTCCATCTCCGTGGCTTTTTCTTGACCTGTCACTTTCGCTTCGCTGTGCATGTCCACCATTTATCGGGTAACAGCATTTGCCTCTGGCGAACTTTTGTGCTAATTGTGGTCTTGCAGAGGTCTGGTCTGGGATCATCCCTCTAGATACAAGACAGAGACGATGGTACTTCGCCATCATCTGGAATGCTGGATGTCGCCAGAAATGAATGCGGGATTATGCACCACCGGAGATCATCTTATCAAATCCATACCTGGTCATTCTCAAGAAATCTTGAAGATGATATACTCCGTACATGCCGAGTAAGTAAGTTCAATAATAATAATAGAGTCTACCTCTCCACATACGTACCCTCTTTTTCTCCTGACCCACAAGGGCCGCAAGTCCACAACACTGTCACCGAATCTGGCACAGTTCAAGGAAGGGGACTAACGAACTAGTGGATAATCCCTCCATAACTACTCAGTCTTTTGAGTCTAGACAGACACAATCAAATCCCCTGTACTCTGTATAGTCTATCTACTGTAGATAGTCATCCACTCTATATGTAGCGACAACTACTGTCCTCACAACGCCCATCCGGGCTTTGTTCAGGGGTTCAATCAATCAGCCACTTTGATACCAGCTTCACTTCATCAGGGCTGTTCTTCTCTCCAGTCCGAACTAACTTAATCATGAATTCTAAACCTGTTTCCCTCTTCTAATCCACTGTTGGCCCTCCGACCCAGTTCATGCAGTAGCTGAATGCGTCTTAACTCTCGACTCTTGAGCAGCCTCACTTTCCTGCCTTACCCTTTGCGTTTACAGGCGACCTGTTCCCGATTCGATCTTGTAGCTTTCCATTCCTTCTGGCCCAGGTTCCATGATTCACGTTTCCCTTCTGCTCTCTGGCTCCGCTGCGGTGCTGTGATCGTGCGCTCGGAGGGTCTCCCTCAGTTCTCCATCCCCCGTCTCCAAGTGCATGCGTGACCATTTTCAGAATACCTTGAATGCCTACACTACACTGTCTTGCTGAAAACATCTGCTTCTCTTGCCATTGGCTATATCAAGATACTTTCTCCTGGTCGCTTTGCCAGATTTGATCTTTACCTCTACTTTGGGTTCCCTTTGGTGTTTTGGACCGCTTCGTCACTGCGCTGCGCTGCAGTAGATCGCCTGCTTCCACTTTGTTTGCTCTTATCTCAGACCATTCAACTTTTCAACTGTCATTGCTTATTCTCTACGTATCCTTCCTCAGTATTTTCATACCTACACTCTTCTCTGTCTGTGTGGTCCTTACCCTCCGACCTCTCACTCGTGCTTGGCTATACAGCAGAGCTGTTCTGAGTCGACCTTACCTAGCAACGCCTCAGGGAGAAAGATTACTTTTGCGCAAGATCTAATCTAGGAAAATATACGATCAAAACATCAATCCAGGGATCTAATCTGAAACCCGGTGCCCCGTTTTTGCGATCACCGCCTGCGATCTACATCCGTTGACAAGCACCAGGCAAGTATGTTTATCCCCCTCACCCCTTCCTCCGCCTTGACCCCAACTGCCCCAGGCAAGGACTGACCAAAGGGCTAATGGAAGGGATAGCAGATCAACCTAGCAACGTGTCCAGGGCTATGGTGTCTTGATTACATTGGACGGATTGGACTGCTCAGTGGTCGTGAATCATACAATTTAATCCGAGACGCCCAGACAGATCTATACCGCTCTCCAGAGGATTGATCATTGTTCACTATCTACACCCAGCGCCTCGGGACCGCTGATCGGATGGAGATGGATCTTCAGAAAACAAAGGAGGCGAGGCGCAATGCGCCGGGGGAGGAAGACGGAACGGGGTGTCCACTAGAAGCATACAACGGAAGCGGTCATTCAATCGACTCCCTCAAGAACGATTCTCTGGATCATCGCGATGCAACCAAACGCAAAAACTGCGGCAAGGATAGCGCAAGTACAGAGCAACCATGCTCGGTGAGTAGATCTCCCCTTCTTTATTGTCTCGCGAAACTAACTCGTATGCGACGAGATAGGCGACGCCGCCGACCCCTCCGCCTCCTTCGTCTGAAGCGATGAAGATCCCGAAAGCATTAGAATTGAGCGTGAAACAGCACAAACTACTCCAGGAAGCTAAACGATATCCTCCAGTCACTAAGAGAACGCTGAGTGAGCTCGACTTGCCCTGCATCATGAGCAATATCAACCTTCGAATGGACGCCAATTTCGATCGGGACCTACATTTCAAACCGGATTTAGACGGGGAGAAAGGGAGAAGGAAAAGGAAAGAAGCGGGAGATTACTGGGAGGCGATGGCTGCCGAAATCGCAATCTATGCTTTTTGCGCAAGCCAGGCCGAGGACGCCACAAACGACGACCAGCAGGATGACCTGCGGCAGACGTTCGAGCCCCGACTGCCCGCCATGTTCGAAACCCTACAAGACGTCCTCAAAACCTTGGTTCCGGAGCGCGATCACCCGGCCGTTACGCAAAACCTTGAGGTGGCTCTGCTGATGCAGCAGGTCCGGAAGGGAGTTCTCGACATGGTTGGGATCGCCAACTGGCTAGCCAGGCTCCTTAAAACACATTGCGCTCCGATGCGAGACCAATGGGCAGACCGCATGGTTGAGCAGATCAGTTCGGGCTCGGAATCGCAGGACTCCATGGAGATTGTCCGCGGGCTGCAGACCCTCTTCGCCATTTTGGAGGCTATGAAATTGGTAGGCTTGGCCGCCTGAGTTCTACATGGAAAGGTACATGTGCTGACTTCCTTCGTCTTTAGGATGTGGCAAATCACCAGATCCGCGCCTTTCGGGTTCTCCTAATCGAAGACACTGTCCCATTCCTGCAAGAGTACTTCCGGAGTAAGATAGCCAGAGACAATTTTCGCGTAGAGGCTTCGCGGCTATGGTATCTGGACGTACGGGAGCAGGAGCTACGCAACCTGGGCAAAAGTGCTCAAAACGACAGCTTCCTTCCGATCTCGTTATTATTCCACGGGTTAACCGATATCCTACTACAATTTCATGGGCCGGAAGGTTTCCCGGAAACTTTCGTCTTCGACTCGGACCGCTTATGGCAGCTCCGATCTGGGCTCCAGAATCTCATCACTCTGGATATCTGCTGGTTCATCTTCGAATCATACGTCCATACGCAGAAACGGTACTTGTCCGCGCCGGCCCAAACCTATGCCAGCTTTCGCTCGCGAATTGGGTCATTGATGGAGGAGAACGAAGACTGCCGGCGGGGGTCGGCGCGATGGTTGAAGAATGTGCGCGGGATCGCCTTGGAGATTGCACGGTTTGCGTGCGCAGCATGCTCTGGGGATTCCATGGTCTCGGATACTGTCATCGCACCAATCGAAGCGACGTTGGAGTGGCATCTGTCCAACGAGTCGTCGGAGCTGTTTCAGTACTTTCAGAACGCGCTGCGACAGAAATTGCTGGTCTCCACGTTTGCCTTTGCCAAAAAGTACCTCAACATGTCGCCTCTGGCCATCTGCGAGTCTCAACGAAGCTACTCGCATTCGCCACTCCCGCAGCACTACGACATTGAGCGGATATCGATGCGACTAGCACACATTGGCGTCCTGCATTGGAGGGTATGGGCGCCCATTCTCTACGTGCGCGAGAGCCTGTCAGCGACTGACGTGGCGAGCAGTCTGCCCGCCGCAGAGTCCTAACGGCAGGACTGCGCATTTGGGGCTGATTTGCGTCACATGAGCATTACTGAAGCATTACTGCATACGGTCATACCTTGTCTTTTTCTTTAAAATTCGGTCGTTCACTTGGAGTTTCACTGTCATCTTGCTGGCTTAGTTTCTTCGGGTGGCACAAAGCGGAGTTCCGGGTCATGTCTCATCATTCGTTTCTTGTCCTTCTTGTGGCATGCAATTCAGCGTCCTGCATCGGTTCTTGTCGGGTCATGGCGTCCACATGGGAAGGGCATTCGATCAAAAAGCCTTGCCTTCTTCTAGGCTGGGTGTTGTCGCATACTTTGATAGAGGTAGTACCAACCTGGTATATGCCATTAGTTCGATTAGAATGAGTTATCTTATAATATTAATATCGATCATCAGACATATATATATACTGTAGCATACATAAAATGTGTAGATTATGTAAGCAGGTATCCCACTTGTCTGCATAACCACCTTTAACTACCTCCCAGCAACTCACTCAGGTAATGCAATAACAATGCCATCCCAATATGGGATCACGGATTAAAGAAGAAAATGCGCATATCATCGCCCCTCCTCACCTCATATACCTGGCTCAACAGCCTCAAAGCAACCCAGCTGCAGCGCATCGCCCAAGCAACGGGGATCCAGTCCTCAGGGACAAAAGCATGTCTCATCGCCCGGTTGAAAGAGGAACTGCCGCAGCCAGACCCCGAGAACCAAATGAGGACATGCAAAAGCACAAGCTCCAGCACAAGGACCAGCGGTATGAGTATCCTAAGCATCGACATGGGGATTCAGAACCTCGCATACGCGCATCTTCTTGTCCCACGCGATAGCAATAGCGCAGCTACCGCTGCTGCTCCGGGAGTAGTGAAGCTAAACGCATGGCGCCGGCTAGCTGTTTCCGACGCCTTACTTGACCCAGACTCTCGGTCTTCCCCTGGAAGTACGTCAAAGCAGCAAAAGAAAGAGAAACATACATTCTCCCCATCCGAGTATGCGCGCACGGCGTACGCGCTCGTCACGGGCTTGCTGCACGCGTACCGGCCCAGCCATGTACTCATAGAGCGGCAGCGGTTTCGCTCGGGTGGGGGCAGCGCGGTGCAGGAGTGGACGCTGCGGGTGGGTGTGTTTGAGGGGATGTTGTATGCGGTTTTGCATGCGCTGGGACAGGCTGGGGAGGGAGGAGCAGAGGCGGGGATGCGGCCGGCGGTGCTGGGTGTTGAGCCTAGGCGGGTGGGGGCGTATTGGGAGGATCGGTTGGGGGTGGATGTGGACGCACCGAAGAAGAAGAAGAAGGCTTCGGCGAGGGAGGGGAAGAAGGTCAAGATTAATCTGGCGGGGGAGTGGTTGCGTGCTGGGATGGGAGGCGTGGAGGTAGGCTCGGGCTTGGGCTCGGGCTCGCCGTTTCGGTTGTCTGTCGCGGATGATGCTGAGCTTCGGGCCCTGGTCGATGCGTATCTGCGGCGGTGGGCGGGCAAATCGAATCCGGCGAGGTCGGTATCGAGGGCTAAGGCCGAAGGGCAGGCTGCGGCAGAGGATGACGGGGCTGTGATTGAACCCCCGAATGTACGCAAGATGGATGACCTGGCGGATTGTCTGGTCCAAGGTGTAACTTGGTTGGAGTGGCAGGCTATGAAGCAGCGAATTTCGGCAGAGGGGTTGGATGCCGTCTTGCACTTGGAGAGTGGAAAGCTTTGATATATGTGATACCCTGTATAATAGATTGTGTTTATATACGTGATATTCTACGCTAAATCATGAAATATCGTTGCATGCTATTCTGTATACAACTAACATAGAAGTCCGTGATGGTTCGAGTGCAAGGGTCCGACAAGCAATCAATAAAACTGAGTACAATGCTACATGCTATTCTCCCTGTTATAGGCAGGCAAACGCAATAGGAATCATAGAAATGGATTCGCTCGCTACATAGTCTATTGAGATCGTCAGTCCGGCGGAATGCAGTAGATCGTGCATCTCTCTACGTCATTCCGGCAGATCAGAAATAGTTCATACAATTTGCATAAAAGCACTGTCGCTGAACAATGTCGTGTATCCGAATCTCGCCAGATGTGTGACCAATGACCGTTGGCAATACAGAAATTCGGCCCGGAAGCGTCTTCAGAAACTGCAAAAGAAGCAACTTTGTTGGTTAAATCAGCGAGATCTGGCGTGATTCGCTTTGTGGGAGAGAAAGTAAAAGAAGCACCGGGAAGGTATAGAAAGATTTCTTCCCCTCCGGATAAGATGAGAACGTAAGAAGCGTAAAAGAAGTCTAAATGAAGTTTGTTCCCCAACTAAGTTTGTACCAGAAGAAAGAAAAAAGGAGAAGGAGAATCCCTCGTTCAAGAGGTACAACGCCAGCGTCCGCATTTCGCCTCGAAATCGATGATCTCTCGGTTACAAAACGGCCATTGTCACGAATTCGGATACCCGGCGACTCGCACCAGGCTGGCTAACTTAGTGGCGGCGGAAGCCAGTGGGGTAGGGCAGCTTGCTGGTCTTGAAACCAGTGGGCTTCGGGGCGCCGCTGGGGAAAGGAATGGTGCCGTTGCCGTAGCCATAGGGTGGGCGAGCAGTGGGAGTGGGCACACTGGTGGTAGGCTCGTCGTCCTCCTCATCCTCGCAGCTGTCATCCTCCTCATCGTCATCCTCATCGTTGTCATCCTCGTCGTCGCCGTCCTTGTCAGAGTACTTCTCGTTGGCGCCGCTGTCCTCGAGGTCGGCGTCATTCTTGTCACCACCGGCGGGGGTAGGAGCGGAAGCAGAAGGGGCAGTCTACAATGGCGTTGCGTTAGCACTGACGATGCGCTGAGACATGAACGGAATCAAAATACATACCACAGTGACGGTAGCAGTGACGGTGACGGTCTCCGGCTTGCAGTTGTCTCCGCTTCCAGAGCTGCCAGAACCAGGGGTAGGAGAAGAAACAGCGATCAGAGTAGCAGTGGTGGTAGAGGTGGAAGAAATTGTGGTAACACCATCAGAGGAAGACTATGATACAGAAAGTCAGTCAATCGGTTGCAATATGACTAGAGTAGTGGAATGATCAATGCGACATACAGCGTAGACAGTGTGGAGATCAGTCGAGGTCTTGTGGATAGTAGTGGTGACGACGGACTTGGTGCTGCCAGAACCCAGAGTGTAAGTGATAGTGACGTCCTGGCCATCATTGTCGCCGCCGGAGCCACCAGATCCAGGAGCACCAGTGCTGAGAGGGATGGGGGCCGAGGTAATCGCAGAGATCGAGCCACCAGTAGCGGACGAAGACTCGATAGGAGTCGGGTAGACAACGACAGTCGAGGTGGAAGCAGGAGTGGTCGAGTTCAAGCCTCTGGGGTGGAAGAACTTGCGACCATGGAGAGCCTGGTGGTTGGCCTCACCACCAGCAGCCAGGATGGCCAGAAGAGCGACGGAAAGCTTGCTTGTGAACTGCATTTTCAAGGATGTATCGCACAATGACAGTCAATGCCTTTGCTGATCTATAGAATGTTTGGGTTTTCTGTTCTTTCTGACGAGAAGACTGTGCCTAAAACGAGTGTGGGGGAAGCGAAATCTATTCGCAACCGATAGAAAGAGTGGCTGTGCGTAGAGAAAGGAATGATCTCTGACACGAAGCAGAAGTGAAGGCCGCAGACAGTCTGGAGGAAAGGGAAAAAGCCCAGAAGAGAAGAGGGAGACCAGATGCTGATGTAGGGGAATTAAAAGGAGGGAGGGGCCAACAGCGCATATTGGTACATCACAGACTAGTATAGTATTGGTTGTCGCCTTAAGATTCAAATTAAACTAATTAAATTTTAATTATGATTATGATTATTTGTCTCTGCGACAAGCATCCCGTATCTGATACACGGCACAAACAGCCCGTGCAGTTGCTTCAGGCAGGTAAGGTACCTGGTACAGCCTGCAGCCTGCACTTAGACTAAACTAGATAATCCTCATACTATCCATAACACAGTAGTTAAAAAGACTCTGGAGTGGGTGGCGCTCAAGTGGAGAAACTAAAAGGACCAAATCGACGGTAAAAAGGCTAAACTCTGTATCATGTTGTGATGTTGTACTTCGACGTCGACAGGCATCAGATCGGTAGGGTGTCATAGCCATTTCGAGTCAGCCTGTTACATCCTCTTAGGAAAGCCAACAATGTCTCCTAGAGGTTATTATTCCGATATTGTTGGTGATAACCCCTTTCTAGGTATGGATTATTCTCCGTATCTGACACAAAAGGATGGAAGTAATATCTAATTACTGCGGTGGGTCCAAGCTCAGGAACCGCACGCAGATTGGCTGCAGCCTGAGATGAAGGCCCGTTTCATGCTGTACTGGTGATTTGTGATTGGCTGGTGCCCCTTGCTTAATCTCTCCGCGTGCCTCCCGTCCGTGGCACACACGCTTCCCTTCTCCGTTGCTGTGGTGGGATTTTTTCTGGGTAGCTTACCTTTACGTACCTAATTTTCCCTCCTTTTTCCACTCTCGCCGTTCGGGTTGCCGGTATCCAGATACATTCAGGACACGGCACAGGTTTACGAGGGATAGGGTTTAGTAGAAGAATTCTAGACAGACTCTGAAGTTTATTGATATATACGCCAAATGACGGTGATTTCGGCGGTGATGGCATTGCTGGAAATATCTAAATGCCAAGTTACCGAGTTCAAGCCTTTAGCATGCGCTGGCCATCCGGTGTACGGAGTACGGAGTAGTCCACGGGGGTACGGATACTACTAAGTAGATACTTCCCTAAGTGGCACTGTCCCGAGAGGCGAAGCCCCGAAGGAACTAGAAGTCGCAAAAAAGATGATACTATGTACCGCTCCCAGTCCCAGGCCCAACAGTGCATAATTTTAAGCTTGAAAGGATACAAACAATGGATCCTGCAATGGCAGACTCATCTATCTGGATCTGCTCTGAGATGAACACTTTCTGTGCCTCTCGCCGAGCTTGTTAACTCAAGTCCGTTTAATTTTGCATGAAGAAAGCAGCTCTACCAGTAACTGACGACGGGGCATAATCTCTTGGTCCGGGTGGATTCTATGCCCCTTTCCCCCCTTTTCTGGTCGTAGGATACAGAAGCAACGATCTATTCCTTCACATACAATGAGTGTGCGTCTTCGGGGTCAATTAAATAGTGCCATTTCCGCGTCTGTTATGGAGTACCTTGAGCGACATACAACCATCTACGGTAAATTGTGAGCTTTGACAGTCGCCGATCAACAGTCATCATGCTGGCAAGCGAGGATCGAGAGGCTTGGATAATCTTGCGGTTTGTCGATGCGAGGTGGAGAAATAGGGAGTCTAGACAACGAGCAAATTGTTCTGAAGTCGCGGCCTTTTTTTTTTCAAATGACCAACGTCTAGTCTAGTTTCTCAGTTGTTCAGAGTAGACAGATTGAACTGACGACCCGTGGCATCAATCCGGGCAGTCCTTAGGCTAAGTTGAAACGTAGTCCGAAGGACCTGTGCTGCAGTCCGTTACGTTCTTGGCTTTCGTATTCGCTCATTCTCATCTTAACCACCCTCCGCCGCCAATAATAATGTTTCACATTCGGAAGTGGCTTTGACGTCAGCCAGTGACGGTGATACTGAACCACAAAGCATAGTGGACTTGAGGTTGAGAGTGAGACTTTGCGTAGTCTGACCCTTTTTAAAACTATGTCGCACTCCGTGTACAGTGTGATCCTGATCAATGACAATGATATGATAGACTTAGCTAGCGTCAACAATATGTCCCTACACCTAGAGTATATAACTGGCCCAACCAGGGATTAAGGTACTTGACGTACAGCTTGATACCTGCATATTCTAGATAACTCCCTCTGAAGAACTTTCAAAATTACGATCACAGAAGCATCAGATGATTCAGATCCCTCAAGTATTGACATGTTATAGTTTTGAAACTTGATTCAGACGATCTTCCCCAAGCGAATACGGAGTATCTACTCCGTACTGCGTCTGAGGTTCGAGATGGGTCAGATTCCAGACATCAGGCCTCCGGGCCAAGGCTGGGAATCAAAGACCCTTCCAGGCTGTCCGAATTTGCTCTCATGGAGCTGTGATTTGTGAGGCCAGTGACCCTTGATTATGATCGTCTCCCTGTTAATTAAGCTGTTACAACTTACGAGCTTGTCATACGGCCCCTGGCCCACAGACCAGTTATTTGCCGAGCAGACTGACCCTAAAGGCGTGCTATCCTGGACTTTGGATAGAGCCATTAAACTGACTCTTCAAGTGCATCTGATAGACAAGATAACAGTTGCTATCTTCGATATTTGCCCTCGTTGTGCCGTGGGCTGCGCATTCTGGAACTGCAGCCGCCCGCCTTCTTAACCTTGGATGATTTATCAATATGACCCCACCTGTGGACGCCAGTCAGCCGCCTCTGACGTGACTGCATCAAGCATTATGTGGATGGTTGCTACCTTAGTTTGACAGTCCTTTCTCACTATTATCAGACCAGAAATGTCTTGCCAGCCAATTTGACTGTCATTGTCAACCATCATGGCGAGCAACTCATATCAGGCCCTTCGGTCACAATACCAAGCCGCGTTGAAGCGTTTCATCGCTTCTCCCAGGAACCTCGAGATACTCAACTCCATCCGGTCGAACCAATTACAAGAGCAAAAACAGCCTTCGCAGGCCCCAGATGTACTCTATGTCCTGGACTCCTCGTTCAACCCCCCAACTCTCGCTCATCTGAGAATTGCAAGCTCAGCTCTTCTCGAAAGCCCCAGTGTCCCGTCTCGACTGCTGCTACTCCTCGCTACCCAGAATGCCGATAAGCCATCCAAGCCCGCCGACTTCGAAGACCGTCTGGCTATGATGGAGTTGTTTGCGCAGGACCTGTTATCACATCTGGGAACAACCTCGTCCTCTCCGGCAAATGCGGGCCTCCAACAGATCGACATTGGAGTGACAAAGAAACCATACTTCGTGGATAAAGCGGCGGAGATCGAGCAGTCGGGCATATACCCGAAACCGCTGGAGCAGGTCCACCTCACGGGCTACGACACTCTGATCCGGATCTTCAACCCCAAGTACTATCCCCCAGAACATACACTCCAACCGCTTGGGCCGTTCCTCTCCCAACATAGACTACGGGTCACCATGCGTCCCGATGATGAATGGGGTAGCAAGGAAGAGCAAAAGGCTTTTCTGCTCCACTTGGCTCAGGGCGGCCGGGAGAATGAAGGCGGCAAGCGTGAGTGGGCGCAGCGCATACAGCTTGTAGAAGGGAAGAAGCCGGGAGAGAGGCCCGTGAGCTCAACGAAAGCACGCGAGGCCATTCATACGAATTCGCAGGATCTCGACTGGTTGGTCCCTCGGAACGTCCGGGAATACATCCTCTCCCAGCGGCCGTACGCCGAGTAGCCGAACTCACGGCATCTGTGAATACTTGGAGTAGATTCAGACGGCGCTATCGTAGCGTAATGACTTTTACCACCTATTTCGCCTATTATACATGAACCGACCACCCCGAAGCATATATACTGAGACAAACGATCCAACCGGAACACCCTACTCCACATCATATACCTAGCATCAATAGAAATACAACGTCACAGTGTAATCGGCTTTTCACTCATCATGATCTTCTCTCTTCCCCAAGGTATAAGCCAATCCACCGCCCACCATATTGAGCAGGCAAAGACCCATGGTCGTGCCGCGAACAACTCCCCGCGCGCCCCATTTCTTCATCAACGGCTGTCGTCGCCGACCTGCAAGGAGAAGATAGAGGCCCGACCAGGCGGCGCTGATCCCCGCGCTGTCTGTCTTGAAGCCCTGGATATTCGCGTAGCTTGTGAATAGGAGGACCGGGGGAAATAGCATTGGCAAGAACTGGAAGGGACGCATGTGCTGTGCTGTGATGAGAGACGCCAGGAGAGTGGGAGGGAATGGGTTTTCTAGAGGTAGAGGCATCCACATTGATTAGATTCTTGTTACTACATCGAATTTTGGAATTTATCACAGATCGTGTAGTCATTGCAAGCTGGGTCCTTACCTCCCCATGCCTTGGCTCGTTGCATGAGCGACTGTTTCGCCATTTCCGTTGGATCTTCACCAGCCATTGTTCCGGATGACTAGGAATGTCTAGATAAAGGTTTAATAATGAAGGAAGGTTATAGAATGAGAAGCAAGGAGATCTTTCAATTAAGGACTATGGGGATTGTCTTCAAATTAATGCTCGGTCGTGCGACAGTAGCCCGTCCACTCGATAGATAAAATACTCAAAGCTACCGCCGGAAGAGTGATAATCTGACAGGCCTAGCCCGCGGCTTAGCGTCAACATCTGAACTCCGAAAAGACACCACGTTTATCTCCCAGAGCTAGGGAGACCAACCATCACAACCCTAGGGTCAAATTGACGCTACTCATCCTTATTCGCTGTTAATACGTCAACCCCGTTCTATTTACCGTCTGGAAAGCGCATTATCCTCTCGTTCCCGTCGTTTACGGCCATCGGATCGGTCCCTCTGCGTCCTTTTAACTTGCGCCGCCTCCGAAGCAATTTTTGTTCATAGAAGGAGCAAGAGTAGATAAACGATCAAGCGCGTGTCAAGCCACGATTTTCAACCACCAACCGGACGACTAAACCCATCAGATACGCTCTTTCACCATGCCGTCCGCTTCAGCATCCGGCGCGGATACTGGCGGTTCAGCCAGATCACGCGAACACAACCAGGGGAACCAGGATCGCAAATACACCGCGGAGCAGAAGGCAGCTGTGATCCGGATACGAAAATGCTCGAGCACGGCGTATTACGAGATTCTAGCCTTGGACAAGTCAGCGTCGGATGGGGAGATCAAGAAGGCATACCGCAAATTGAGTTTATTGACACATCCCGATAAGAACGGGTATGAGGGGGCGGATGAGGCATTTAAGAGTGAGTTCTTCCTCCTCAGATGCTAGGATGATGGGATCTCGGATGTAGCTGATACATGTGGCTGCAGTGGTCTCTCGTGCTTTCCAAGTGCTATCGGACCCGGACAAAAAATCCAAGTATGATAAGTTTGGCGGAGATCCGGACAGCAGGTTCACACCTAGTGCTGGGCCCTCGGGGGGGTCTCCTTTCGGCGGCTTTGGTGGTGGTGGGTTCCCGCGCTCAGCGGGTGCTGGTGGTCCTATGTTCGAGGAGGAGATATCGCCAGAGGAGCTGTTCAATCGCTTCTTCAATGGCGGGTTCGGAGGAGGAGGATTCGGTCCTTTCGGTACGCTTGACTTACATTTTTCTTTTGTCTCTCCGAGGCTTCATGCTTACGGATGCTATTTAGGAGGTTCTCAGTTTGTTTTCAATATGGGCGGAGGCCCAGGTTTCCGGGTACACCAGTTTGGAGGGCCCCGACCGCGACGAAGACCTCGCGAAGCCAGCGCTCAGGCCGAAGCCGCACCGTCTGGCTGGGCAACGTTCCAGTCACTACTCCCTCTTATCCTTCTATTCGTGCTTCCTCTGCTCTCGTCTCTTTTCTCTGGCTCGTCGTCTCCTTCCGGTCCTTCCTACAGATTCGATGCCGCTGTACCCCCTCATACCATGCAGCGGACAACGCCGAAATACAGCATCAATTATTTCGTCAATCCTAGGGACGTGGAAGACTACAGTGCGAAGAAACTTCGCCAGTTGGACACGAAAGTGGAAGTGGACTATATCACCAAATTGCGGTACGAATGCGAGAGCGAAGTACATGCTCGGGACCGGATGATGCAAGAAGCCCAGGGCTGGTTCTTCCCAGACGTAGAGAAGATGAAGGAGGCGAGGTCCATGGAACTTAAGAGCTGCCGGCGGTTAGATTCTCTGAAGGGGAGATATTAGCCAGCCTCACGATACGTTCTTTTGCATTTTGACCCGTGATTTTGGTTCTTCAAGGATTCCTTTTGGCTGCTGCTCCTTCTGTCTGCTTTTCTGATTTGCATTAGAAGCAAATGACTGGCGGAGATTTCGATGGCGTCCCATGGACTGACGAGTTACTGGATGTCTATGATTACTATTATTGTGCAAATACTTTTATCAACGGCTGTGAAGAGAAACTGAAACATTAACTCGGAGACATTTGATACCGTTCTCAGAGGGATAAGTGAATAGATAATATAATAAATTGTTATCATGCTTGACAAATAGAGGAATGGCAAGGGCGGTCTGTCTGGCTTAGTTAAGGACATTAATCATGCAGGCGAATCTCAGCGACCATGACCGAATGTCGCCAGTACTGTAGAGTGACCACTAGCATTCATCCATCGGCCTGGCCGGTCGTTACCCTTCTTGTTACTAAATCATAGATGTGCCCAGATTCCCCAGTGTATATATTTCTTTGACTGTTGCCTTTTGTGATCACTATTGGATCAGTCATACTAGTAACTGCTTACTCTATCTTCTCCGCACCCTTCTGCCCCGCTGACAGAGCCTCTTCTCTTGGGGCGTTTGTTCATATCTCCCCTGTCAACAGACGATGTCAGATACTCTCTCTGATGCGGATAAGGTGAGCGCTGTACTGCTTGATGCTCGTCGTCAAAATGAGTGGTTTTGTGGCTGGATGACAACTAAAACTCCTTGCACAGATCCGCAACAAGCGCCTCGCAAAGCTTGGAAACCCATCCCCATCCTCACAAAATGCAGCAGCCTCAGAGATAGCTTCTACCCAGCCTTCTACTCCTTCAGTGCCCAGTCCTTCTCCTCAACAAACCTCCGACGCTCCGCAGCCACAGATCAATATCAGCAGCGCACCGCGCTCACAAACTTCTTCGCCTCGGCCGGAGTTGCAAGAATCGGAAGGCAAGCGAATTAAGATCACACCGTCAGCCCCTGCCAGTCCTGCCCTGGAGTCAGTATCTGCTACCCCGGTATCGAACACGCCTCCGCCACCGAAGGCAGAAGAGAGTATTGAATCCTTTGAGGATCGCACACTAAGCGCCGTCTTCAAGCTTAGCTTGAGGGAAGACCGACAGCGGGATATCCATGGGCACAAGTTGATCTACTTGCCTGGGTTGCGGAGCGAACTCGAGGACCAGGGTCGCGAACCGCGCATCGACACTACTGTACTGGACCAGGCCCTCCTTGAAGCCGCCTCGAATACCCAGCAGAAGCCTTTGGACTATCTATTGCCATGCTGGGGGCGGATCTCAAGGCTCCACAAGGGTTTTCGCCGTGCCCGCGAGGATGATCCGAAATTCGGTGTCATCTGTGAGGCGCGGCGCCTGTGCATGAGCTATTGCATCTTCGCGATCACGATGCCGGAGATGTTCGGGTGGGTTCCTGCCTCTCCCCTGTTCAGTTGACGAAACGGCCGACAGATTGGCTGATTCCGTTGTCTCTTAGGCTCGAGCCATCCGATCGGTCTCCGCTCAAGCCATATCTTCTTCTGGATCCCGAAGATGATAAGGGAGTTGATCTTGAGTTCTTGGGCGAAGCTGTAAAAAGATTTGAGGAAGACGAAAGCATCAAGCCGGCTTTCATCGCCGCCGTAGAGGAGATGAGCCGTGACCTCGCTTCGATGACTATCAATGATGACTACAAGTCTTATCTAATAGTATACTCTGCCTCTAGCGCTTTTTTCTTCAAGATTCCTGTTGCTGACCTGTCTAGGCTCTGCGAAACCTGGTTGGTAATCCGGTCATTGCCGCTGCTATTACGGAGTCATCTTTTTTCAACGAGTCTCGTGATCCAGCATTGTTTGAGAAGGAGACGCTTCTGGGTCCATGGTTCCGCTTGTCACCTCTCCAGGGCAATGTTACCATGACCTATTTCTCAAGTCCCAAGACTCGAGATCAGTCATATATCTTAAATGCGCAAAGATCCATGAGAATGATACAGCAGATGCTTAGCTCAGATCTGTTTGATGTCGTCAACCATATCATTCGCGCGAATAAGGAGGCAAGAGACAGAGTCCTGGACTGGTTCGCTGCCGCGTTGAACATCAACCACAAACGAAGAGCAATGCAGGTGGATCCTACTACTGTAGCTTCGGACGGTTTCATGTTCAACCTCACAACATGTCTGGACAAGCTTTGTGAACCTTTTATGGACGCAACCTTCACCAAGGTAGGCTTGGCACTTTCATCTCATTATGCTCTTCCACTAAGCTTACCGGGTTCTTAGATTGACAGGATCGATGCGGGGTATTTGCATCGGAACCCACGCGTTGATATGAAAGATGAAACCAAGATCAATGCCGATCAGCATGCGTCTGACGCGTTTTACTCAAAGCAAGAAGAAGGGACTTCCAACTTCATCACTGAAATCTTCTTTTTGACTGTTGCTGCTCATCACTACGGTAGTGAGTCCCTGACGTCAAAGCTGGACCAGCTTGAGAAGGACCTTCGGCACATGGAGGGTACGATCAGGAGGTTTGAGCTGGAGCGACCCAGATGGATCCACAATCCAGTGCAGCTTAGGGTATTTGAACAGGCTCTGAAGAAATACAAGGATAAACTGGATTTGGGTCTCGCTCTGAAGTACAGTCTGCAAGGCGTTTTGTTCGACGACCAATGGCAGGCGCGCTCCATGCTGTTCATGAGATATGTCGTCGTTTGGCTGCTCAGGCTTGTGTCCGGTGTCAATTTTCCAAAGGAGCCGATGAAGTTGCCTCTTCCGGAGCAGCAGCCGGAGGTCTTCAAATGTCTCCCCGAATACTTTGTTGATGACATTGTCAGCAACTTCAAATTCATCATGTGGTGCATGCCCCAGATCATCACCGCGACACAGGGAGACGAGCTAGTTATGCTCTGTATCACTTTTCTGGAGAGTTCGGACTACATCAAGAACCCTTACCTGAAAGCGGGTCTTGTTTCGATCCTGTTTCGGGGGACATGGCCTCGCCCCGGTGGCGCCCGCGGTGTTCTAGTGGATCTTTTGAACTCTTTCCCTTTTGCTAATGAATACCTGCTGCATGCCGTCATGAAGTTCTATATTGAAGCAGAGCACACGGGGACGCACACCCAGTTCTTTGACAAGTTCAACATTCGCTACGAAATCTTCCAGATCATCAAGTGTATCTGGCCAAACACTCTCTATCGGAAAAAGCTCTACAACCAGTCCAAGCAAAATCTGGACTTTTTCGTTCGCTTTGTGAACTTGCTTCTAAACGACGTGACTTACGTGCTTGATGAATCCTTTGGCGCATTCATCACGATTCACGATACGCAGGTGGAGCTCAGTCGCAATGGGAACAACATGGATCCTCAGGAGCGTCAGCAAAAAGAGGAGCATCTCGCATCCGCGCAACGGAACGCCAAATCCTACATGCAGTTGACAAATGAGACGGTCGCCATGCTCAAGTTATTTACGGAAGCGTTGGCAGACTCGTTCACCATGCCTGAGATTGTCCAGAGATTGGCAGACATGCTTGATTACAACCTGGATGCCATGGTTGGCCCAAAGAGCTCCAGCTTACGAGTGGACAATCTGCAAGAGTACGGTTTCAACCCGCGTGCTTTGCTGAGTGAGATCGTCGATGTGTATCTCAACCTGATGGGCAAGGAAAATTTCATTCTCGCCGTCGCAAGGGACGGACGGTCCTACAAGCCGGCGAATTTTCAGAAGGCCGGGGATATTCTCCGAAAATGGTCGCTGAAATCCTCGGAGGAGCTCCAACAATGGGAACAGCTGCAGGCGAAGGTCAGGGCGGCCAAGGAGGCTGATGAACAAGCCGAGGAGGATCTGGGCGAAATTCCTGATGAATTCCTGGGTACGTTCGATGAATTACTTACCTGTGATGGCCAAATAGCTGATAGTTTTTCGCTAGATCCCCTGATGTATACCTTGATGGAAGATCCAGTTATCCTCCCTGGCTCCAGGGTATCCATGGATCGTTCTACTCTTCGGTCTCACCTTCTGAGTGACCCACATGATCCGTTCAACAGAGCTCCGCTGAAGATGGAGGATGTAAACCCTGGTAAGTATTCATTCTTGCCTGTCTTTGCCTGTCTCAAGCTCGAAAGCGACGCGGCTGACTGGTTTTGTCTAGATACGGAGCTCAAGGCCAAGATTGAGGCATTTAAGGCGGAGAGACTAGCGGCGCGCCGACAGCCCTTAGCGCAGACTGTGACTGACACTATGGATACATCGACTGATTGAAGCACAAGAAAAACTTGCATAGAAGTTGTTGATGGATAATGATCGCTCGGCATAGACATCAGAAGCCACTCAAGCCAGCCCTTGCGCATTACTTCATTTTGAATTAAGAATGCCATGCTTGACCTCCTGGATTGGAACGCATTTGTCTTCATGTTCCCATATACTGTGTGCTCGGCTGTTTTGTATACACCTAGATAGGCTGCTAAGGAGGGAGAAGAGATACATCCTTCTTCAATTGTGACAAGGCGTTGATCCATGTTCGATACATCGACCTGTAACTAAGCAGCTGATCACGTGCAGTGACTGTCTCGTGACATCATTGGATGAACACAAGCTATTGATCCTTCTTTGTTGAACATATCCCTAAATTCACCTCTCTTTGTTGTTGTGCTGGATCGTGAGAGGCGTATATAGTCATGATCTGAGAATTTACTTCCGGAGATTCCTTGATCACCATCGTCTCAGACTCTGAGCGCCTGAGCATCTGAGCATCTCAGCATCCCAAACCAGCGTGACCCTTGAAATAAGTAGGTAGCTTGATCAGGGACTATTACCCCGTATGTTTTTCTTCAAATTAGCGTTGATCATATTATTAAGTTCACTTAATTTCATGCTTATACTAATGTGTCAGACAGGCAAATATGGGCTCCGCAATCTCGTCGTTCCTGTGGTCTCTTCCCCCCTTGAGAGACTTCATCCTCCCCAGTCCCCAGGCCTACACAACCCTGCTCAACGTATTCCAA